CTGCTGGGCGTGGCCAACTCAGGAGCCAGCTGGAACTCCGTTCCTGCCCCAAAATAGCCCTGGATATGTGCATACCTTAGTTTTCAGTTTGTTTCAAACACATACACACACACACACCGATGATCGTTTTTCATCTTAAGTCTTTGCTGAGTTCTTTCTTTGGTATGAGTGAGTATTGGGAAACCAGGTGTCACCCTGGTTGCAAGGGTGCAACAAACCTTGGAACCCAGTGCAAACAGAATACTTCTAGAGAATCAGAGCTTCATAACGCTTCCCATGCCTTCTGTAACACACAGTGCACTTGCACCAAGGTAAACATTCTGTACCACCAGAATGTGAGAGAGTGGCATTTGTGAGTGATACATAGGGGGGATAAAGGAAGTTGCTATTCCTAAGTGGGGGGAAATATAGTTCTCATGGTCATTTGCAAAACCACGCAAGTATTACACAATGCACATGCACAAAGGACAATTGGGTGTGCTGTTGTGGTAGATGTGCAGCTGCCTTGCAATCTCAGACAAATGGCTTGGCAAACAGTTGATCTTGCTCATCAATCAAGCATAGAGGTATTCACAACTGATCATTGTGATGTAATCCAAACCTGCAGGAGTTTGGCCGTGCCCCTGGAAGTCACATTATTTGAATTCCATAAATTATGGTAGAAAATCCATTTAAATTAGGTCATAATTATCAAAGGCTAGACTGTAGACTGTTGGGTAAAACACAACTCATTAAGAATTACCTTCTTGGTTCAGAACAGAGGTTTATCTAGTCCAGGACATTATATCAAACACTGGCTGGCAGATCCCTTTGTGAGTTTCACAAGTACCACAAACTTTTCAGCTTATATTACGTGTCAGAGTATTTAGTATTGATTGGTAGAATACAGGTGAATAAAGCACCTCCATGCTCTTAAAACATCAGGAAGGGATACTACAAAGATATTATTTCATCAATGAAAGGGTACTATAGAAGTATCTGCAAACTTCAGAGCACTATTTGGACTTTGCTTTAAAGACTTCAAGGAGCTGCGGTGGCTCAAGTGGTTAAGACGCTGAACTGCAGGCTGTGGAAGGTCAGTAGTTCAGCAGTTCAAGACCCGGGTGCGCCGCATGATGGAGTGAGCTCCCGTCTCTAGTTCCAGCTCCTGCCAACCTAGCAGTTCGAAAGCAAGAAATTGCAAGTAGATAAATAGGTACCACTTCAGTGGGAAGGTGACAGCGTTCCGTGCGCCTTGGTGTTTAGTCATGCCGGCCACATGACCATGGAAACGTCTTCGGACAGCGCTGGCTCTTCGGCTTGGAAACGGAGATGAGCACCGCAACCCTAGAGTCAGACTCGACTGGCTTTCAAGCAAGGGAACCTTTACCTTTACCTTAAAGACTTCAGGATGGTCATGTTTTAGAGGAAGAAGCAGTATCGCTCCTTTAAGCAGTTACGAGCAGAGAAGTTGAGTTCTACTTCTGAGCAGAATCATTTAAAGTATTTCAGTGGATTCAGACAAGCTATTATTCATCCCCATCTTAGACTACACAGGCATAAATAACTGATATTGATAATACACACTTTCAGAAACGTAAATTGTCAGGGCCTAAAGCCACACAAAGGAATACTGAGAGAGGTGCAGTGTTTAGGATCAAACTGCACATTATTTTTTCTTTTCATATTCATTTTAAGCCTTTTGATTTTGCAAATACAGCTGACAAGGATACATTTTAAAGGAAAAGTGCAGACAAAACCAGACCCTCTTTAACTCTTCCCTCTCCTCTGCTATTTTTTCAATGAAAAAGCTACTCCTGGTCTTACTTTTCAGAGGTGCAGCCATGTTGGTTTGCAAGAGAACAGCTAGATTCAAGTACGGCATCACCTTAGAGACCAACATACACATTTATCTGATGAATGGAACTTTGACTCTTAAGAGCTTATACCCAAAAAATCTTGCCAGCTTCTAAGGTGCTACTGGACTCAAATCTAGCTAATCTTGTATACCAGCTACAAAAATGGGGGGTAGGAACAATAACTTTTTTCCAGTGGTGGTGAAAGTAGCTTGGGGACTTGTAACTTCTTCAGTAAGACAGCAGAAGTAGTAGAAGAAGAAATGGTTAAATACTGTCCCCACACCATTCTTCTCTGGACCGGCTCAAGGTGTTTCTGCGCCCTAGGCGAGGCTGCCTTATGGCGCAGATGCCAACCTTCCGGTACCAGCTACAAAAATGGAGGGTAGGATCAATAACTTTTTCCAGTGGTGGTGAAAGTAGCTTGGGGACTTGTAACTTCTTCAGTAAGACAGCAGAAGTAGTAGAAGAAGAAATGGTTAAATACTGTCCCCACACCATTCTTCTTGACCAAAACAGCCTCACTGACTGCATTTGCCGGGGTGTGTGTGTGTGTGTTGTTTTTAAATGAACAAGAAAACATAATGTGTAATCTGACCCTTAGCAATACTAATGCTGTAATTTAGTACCATAGTATGAATGATCTTGGTCTCTCCAGTAACACTACCTTACACTTAAGTGCAAGGAAGTGTTACTGGAGACCAAGATAATGGTAGTATCCATGACTATGTATGGATGAGTTAGTTCAACAGTGAAGAAAGCTGACAGGAAGAAAATTGATTAATTGCAAATGTGGTGTTGGAGGAGAGTTTTAAAGACACCATGGACAGCCAAAAAGACAAATAAGTGGGTTGTAGATCAAATCAAGCCTGAATTCTCCCTAGAAGCTAAAATTACTAAACCTAGGCTACCATACTTTGGTCACACCATGAGAAGTCAAGACTCACTAGGAATAAAGGAAGACCCAACATGAGATGGATCAACTCAAGAAAGGAAACCACAGAATTCACTTTGCAGGACCTGAGCAAGCCTGTTAATGATAGGCTGTTCTAGTAAAGGTAAAGGTTTCCCTTGCTCGAAAGCCAGTCAAATCCAACTCTAGGGTTGCGGTGCTCATCTCTGTTTCCAAGCCGAAGAGCCAGCGCTGTCTGAAGACGTTTCCGTGATGTGGCCGGCATGACTAGATGCCAAGGCGCACGGAACGCTGTTACCTTCCCACCGAAGTGGTACCTATTTATCTACTTGCAATTTTTTGCTTTCGAACTGCTAGGTTGGCAGGAGCTGGAACTAGAGACGGGAGCTCACTCTATCATGCGGCACACTCGGGTCTCGAACTGCTGAACTACTCACCTTCCACAGCCTGCAGTTCAGCGTCTTAACCACTTGAGCCACCGCAGCTCCTAGGCTGTTCTAGAGATCATTAATTCATAGGGCTGCCCTAATCCAGACGTGACTTGACAGGACTTAACACACACATTCTTGATGCGTAACAGGGTGCTAACATTCCTTAACTGTAGTTTTGGGACTGAATTGCCTTAAACTTTAAACAAGCAAAATTTCAGCTTGCTTTATCACTAAACAAAAAACTTCCCAACAAAGTGGTAGTCCACTCCATTTCAGCAATGTTGTCACATCACCGAAAACATCATATTAGTGACATCAGCACTAGAAGCTTCAATCTCCAGCCACAACTATTTATCAGCCAATATCCGATTTTTGCAGAGGGGATTTTCTATAGTTCTTGGCTGTTTGGGATTTCCTTACAGCTGCACTGCTTGACTAGGTATAGTATCATGTTGAATCTTCTTGTACCTCTCTTATGGGAATCATATGAGCCTCTAAAACAACAGAAACGACAGCAATAGAAAGATGGCTCAAAGGTTTGCAACAGAATTGGGGTTATCTGGCAAATAGGACGGAACCAATTAGCTGACTAAAGATTTAGACAGTATGTTTATGTGTCTGTGTGCATGCGCATTCTTGGCAAGGTCTTTGGAACATCTGACACAAAGGACTGAATACAGATTACATTTCTAAACAAGAAGTAAAACGGACACAATGAAAATGTGCAAAGTAAGATGCATGCAGTCCCATTAATCATATTAGAAAAAAGTTATGTATTTATGTACTTACCCATCTGATACTATGCCCTCAGCTATTTCACATACTAACACAAACAAAAGGATGAAAGTCAAAATCCACCGTAAATTATGACCAGGAAAATGAAGCCAAGTGCTGTGATGGATATGAACTTTGGAGCTCTGACTTCCCCATCCTAAACATAACAAAATAAATTATACCTGTATTATCATGAGAGTTTCATGCGCATATCTCTTTTTAAAAAAAACACACACATTCCTGCCTATTGTCAACTGGAAATAGAAACACTGCACTTTTAAATGTGAAAAAGTTAAAAGTTTAAATAAAGTTAGAGAGAAAAAGTTTTTTTTAGAACACACATTCCTGCCTATTGGCAACTGAAAATAGAAACACTGTACTTTTAAATGTGAAAAAAGTTAAAGTTTAAATAAAGTTAGAGAGAAAAAGTGGCCACATATATTGTGAAAGACCTTAAGAAATGGCAGGGAATTCCCGGACACATGACGGCTTATTTCCCAAACAATTAATACACACATTAACATCCTTTTTGCATATAGTTTCAGAGGGTAGCAATGTTGGTCTGCAGTAGACCAGGTGGCACCTCAGAGACCAACGAGAGTTTGGGAGTATAAGGTTCTGAGAGTCAAAGCTATTCTTTTTTGAACAAACTGAAAAAGTTGCCAATGATCACTACTTATTTCACAAACACATCTATCGGGACAATGTAACACCTGGACAACATTTCACACAGCAGTCACAAGCGCAATAAATGTGCTATGTGAGCAGAATTGCCTCAAGTGCTTTGAAAAAAACATGCAAACTGTGAAAAACAAATGTCAGAGACGATATGAGAACAACAAATGAGATACAAATGCCCACATTTTGCATAATTAACTGATCATGCAAATCATCTGCAAAGCGTTTCCTTTGTTCTTAAGAAAGCTTAAAAAAAAAAAAGCATTAGCACTCAAGGGTACTGGATTTGTGGTTCACAGGTACATTTCATTGGCATTTATCTTCCTGCATTCCTCTGTCCTGAAATAAAAGCCTACGACAATAAAGAATGTTTAATATAGAAAAGTCACATCTGGTTTTAAAGATTATGTGAGTAAAACGATCTAAGTGGCTGCATTCAAGCCGAGCGGGTCGTTGTGCTGCTTAGCCACATCAGTGTAACTGGAACAATAAACTAGGGCTAAACTATTAGCAATAGGACATATTTGATTTCAATTTATTTGATTTTGTTCTGCTCATTAAAAAGAGACACCTGGTTAACTGGCAAAATGTACATGTTAAGCTGCTTCTAGAATAACCACTACCACCACCTATTTGTTAGTATCATCGGGGTAGCTGGTCGGCCCTATATGGAGACCGAGCCCACAGTATGGTACGAGACAGATACGGCTGAACCAGGGACCCATGATCCATATATATGGCATGCCATCTTTAACATGGCCAGAAGACCGACATTATTCTGATCACTTTAATTGTAATATATGGTTGTTTTATGTTGCTCTTATATATCAGGGCACACAGTGCCCTTCAGCGTAAGCCGCCCTGAGCCCATCCACGGGGAGGGCGGGATAGAAAACCAATAAAATAAATAAATAAGAAGAAGAGATTGGATTTATACCCCGCCCTTCACTACCCAAAGGTGTCTCAGAGTGGTTTACAAACTCCTTTCCCTTCCCCTCCCCGCAACAGACACCCCATGAGGTGGATGGGGCTGAGAGAGCTCTTGACAGAAACTGCTCTTTCAGGAACAGCTGTGCCAGAGCTTGTGATTGACCCAAGGTCACACCAGCAGCTGCATGTGGAGGAGTGGGGGAATCAAACCCGGTTCTCCCAGATTAGAGTCCGCACACTTAACCACTACACCAAACTGGCTGTAAAATAAGATACAAAACATCCACGACTGGGTTGACTTGGAGAGCCAGTTCATTTATATGAAATGTATACTTCCAAGCCAGTGGCCACGAGACTGGGGCGGCAGAAGACTGGAGCAGTGTTCTCTCTAAGCTGAGTTAGTGTGAGCTAGCTCACAGTTTTTTAGCCTCTAGCTCACACATTTTCGTCTTCATTCAGGAAGGATGGCTCCAGAGCAAACTAGTTTATCCAGCAGCCAAATCTCTTGCTCACAACTTCAATGCCAGGAGCTCACAAAGTAGAATTTTTGCTCACAAGACTCCACAGCTTAGAGGGAACATTGGACTGGAGTAGGGTTCAGCGCAATGCTCCCTCTAAGCTGTGGAGTCTTGTGAGCAAAAATTCTCCTTTGTGAGTTGCTGGCATTAAAGTTCTGAGTGAGTGATTTGGCTGCTGCATTAAATTAGTTTCCTCTGGAGCCATCCTAGCTAAGACAAAAATGTGTGAGCCAGAGGCTAAAAAACTGTGAGCTAGCTCACACTAACTCAGCTTAAGATATTACCTTATTCAGCAAAAAAATATGTTTAGGATATACTGGACACCATAGCATATATAATAAAGGACTCAGTAAAGCGACTAATTGTTGGCGTGTAACTTACAGGATGCATCCTTAAAATTTGTTTTGGGCATGCAGTTATTCAGTTTTTCTGGGAAGACGTTATTACTCATATTGATTTTGTAGTAGAATATCTGTTGATATTTGAGGATTCTTATGTACTTCTAAACTATCTTCCCATCTCTTGGAAACTAACCACTGGTCAAGAGAAATGGATCCTCAGTGCCCTTACTACAACTAAAAGACTGATATTACAACCAATGCTCCCTCTAAGGTGTGGACTCCAGTGAGCAAAAATTCTACTTGGTGAGCTACCGGCATTAAAGTTGTGAGTAAGCGATTTGGCTACTGCATCAATTAGTTTGCTCCGGAGCCCTCCTTCCTGAGCTAAGACAAAAATGTGTGAGCCGGAGGCTAAAAAACTGTGAGCTAGCTCACACTGACTCAGTTTAGAGGGAACACTGGTTCAGCTTCCCCGCACACAAGAAACTCTTTGTGAGGCTCTATCAGAACAAATTTGTTGGGAAAGGTCAATATATGTTTTCCTTGCGTAATTAATTCTGTAGACTTAAAGCCCTTGATATTACACTGAATTGCAGAAGATCTCTTAGTTGAAATGTTAAGCTTCTCATTGATTCTGATGTAGTTGTTGAACATTGTTACTATATCTCGATCACCTCTATGTTACTATATCTCGATCAATTTTTGCGACAAATAACAAATAAATAAAAGTAAAAAAGAGAAAAAGAAAAAAAGAAAGTCTTTCTCGATTCTTAGCCGGGAAAGGTCCAAGGGGAAGCCTGGCGGCGGCGGCTGCAAACACCGGGTCCGCTTCGTCCGGCAGAAGCGGCGGCCGCAGCAGATCTTGGCGGCTGCTCCCCGGATGGATGCTTGGGAAGCTCAAGCGCCGCAGC